CTTACGTTGTTATATATGTTTGATTGAAATATACCCCTATGCACCAATATTATAGATTTAAAAAAAAAAATGTTCTTATCTCCACTATCCTTGTAATCAATCGTCACTCCTCAACGCGTTTTGCTATTTCAACTTTAATCTTGTAGTTTCTTCATGTTTATGCCACCAGGTTTTCAATGATAGTTGTTTCAGTTTTCTTGCTTAAACACCATACCAATGCCATAATGGTTGGGAGTATCCTTCTGTAAACTTTTTATCTCATTAGATTTGAGCATACATGTTTTTTTTAAGTGGAAAATCACTGCCTTTTTTCAAGAGAGGAAAATGACAGACAAGGAAATGAGTAGAAGCTTTATGTATTGAAGACCTGTCTTCTAAATTAGACATTAGCTACGAAGGAATCATATATGCTCTTCATCGTATAAGCATTTGTAGAAAAAAAATGTGACTATGATATTGACACTTTCTCTTAATCTCAAGGTGCGGAAGTCTGCCTGCGATGCTTTGTTTAATTTGATCATCCTGTCAACTAAATTTGCTGGCGAGGCCTTAAGCTTACTAATGGACGTCCTGAATGATGATTCAGTTTCTGTCCGCTTGCAAGCTTTGGAAACATTACATCACATGGCAATTTCCAATTGTCTGCAATTGCAAGAAGCACATATGCACATGGTATAGTTAATCCTTGTTCTATATTTTTGAGTCTTTCAATTACTCATAATAGGTGTTCATTGACAGCATTTAAGGTTACGATTATAAGAACTTTTGTATCTGTAGTTTTTTCAATTAAAAGTTTGAACCGTACAAAATCATACTAAGCTTGTCACTGCACAAGTCATCAAATGAAAATTTATTTGTGTCAATATTTGAGGTTGGATATTAAAGATCAATATCTATGTTTGGTTCATATTATTCTTATCAAAATTGGTTTAATTGCAGTTTCTCAGTGCTTTAAGTGACAATAATGGCCACGTAAGATCTGCTTTAAGGAAACTTCTTAAATTAGCGAAGCTGCCAGATTTGGTGACATTTCAGTTGTCTTTTAATGGTCTTGTCGAAAGTTTAGAATCATACCCGCAGGTTTGTCCTCCCTTGATCCTTCCCTTGTATTCTTTCTTCTTTTGTGCTGTTGTGTATAATTTCTATAGATTCGTTTACTTACTATTGCCGCTCCTTTCTGGAAATAGAATCTATATTGAACACAATTTCATTCTTAATGATGTGCTATTGTCACTTTGTTAATTGCTAGGATGAGTCTGATGTGCTCTCCGTGCTGTTTCATATGGGTCAGAATCATGTAAATATGGTTGCCTCCATTATCACGGATGTTTTTGAACAGGTTAGCTTGGCTCTTTATTTTCCGTATATGGTAATGTTGGACTCATCTAATTATCTAGTGAAATCATTTATATTCGAGGATTAGCTTCCAGCCATTATACCTTAATCCAGTTTTCAGTAGTGCACGTGGGGCATATTTCAATATTTTATGTATATTAATAGAAACTAGAAAGCTAAATCGTGAAGGTCAATGGATGGTGATGGTACTGTTAACTCTCTTGTACTTGTTCTTTGCTTCAGATAGACCCAGCGTCTGAAGGAAAACTTGGATTTGATAGCGTGAAGGTGATTGCATATATTGTTCTAGCTATTTCAGCTCCCGTTCTGGACACTCATTCTCTTAGGATTCCACCTAGAATATTTTCTTATGCAGCTACATTGCTTGGAAGGATCTCTCATGCTCTGAGCGATATTATGGATCAAAGCACTATTTTTGCTTACTTGCTGCAAAACAGTAAAAACACTGGATTATCTGATCTGGGGTTTAATCCAGAGGGAGTCCCATGCTCACTTACACCTGGAAGTTATGTCAATGATATACTTGCCATTGCCTCACCTAAGACGCCTGCAACGATACATGATAAGCAGCACAAAGATGATGATGCCATAGAATCTATCAAAACTATCCTCTCAAAGGTGCAAGATATTTGGCCACTAATACAATCGGGATTTTTGCATGAAGTTCTAAGGACTTTGAGGTTTGTAAATCAGTTCTTTGTTTAACTTCTTATGGGGTCATACATTAAATGAATTGTTCCGTACTTATGGTAGTTCTATGAAGTTTTATTAGATATCAGTGCAAGATCAGTTGCCTGTGCTGATAAAGTCAATATTCTTTTATTATTATTTTTTTTTAATGAACAATAGATTACTCTGTAAATTTTGAGCTTTTAAATTTTGTTCTTATCTTAGGTTGGAAAGAAGCGCTGGAGTGTTCGATATATCTTTTTGTGCTAGCTATATTCCTAGGTCCTTCGGTTGAATTAGATACTGCCTTTAGTCACCATGCTCCCAGTGTATCCAGCACCTTTTTGAGGTGGCTTTTTGATAATTAATTGTAGGAATGTTTGTTTTTGCATGGTTGGTACAGTTTTTTTTTACATCTTCCATCATATCAATTAAAACTGTTTTCTATTTCCATGTTTTGACATGAAAGTGAGTCTTGCTTTTATTCTAATCATCATTGCAAAACGACAGCTTTGGTTTTTTCTCTTTTGTTCTCATCCTTGTCCTTTGCAGACAAGTAAATTCAACTTTTTGTCTAACTTCCTCATTTTCTTGGAATTTTAGGGTTTGCAAGGAAGCATTGGAAGTATTCACGTATCAAATAGACAAATACGGTGGGGCTTTAGCTTTTACATTGCAGTATCTCAAGATAATGAAACTGGTTGCGAAGGTATGGAATTTGATGTCTTCAAAACATAGTTGTAGAATTGGAGAATGGGAATCTCTATTAGGAAAGCTAGAAAAGGGGCTGAAAGGGTTGAGAAGTAGGTTCATTGGATTCTCTAAAGAAGAAGAACGTCATATCTTAGAATTGATGTTGGTAACTAGTGCACTAAGGTTGTCTAATGGAGAAATTTGCTGTCATCTCACAATTATGAGAAAATTGTCGATGATAGCTTCCAACATAGAGCATCTCCTCAAGGAAGAATGTATTGAGCCATCAACTTTTGTATGTGAAGTTCAAAGATCATTGTCAAAGTTAGGCGCCATTACCCCTAAAGCTTCTTGCTATTCACTTGATTTTAGAAAACTGCTGAAAACTTTCACCCTCAACCATCTAGAAATTTCAGAAAAACTTAAGCACGTCAAGGCAGAGCTAGTCATTCCAGATAATGACTATGAAAAAACCCTCTATTTTGTTCCAGGACTACCCGTTGGTATTCTGTGCCAAATTATCCTACACAATGTTCCAAGTGAGAGGAAGCTATGGTTTAGAATCACAATGGATAACACGACAAGTCAGTTTATCTTCTTGGATTTCCTTTCCTTAGGAGGAGGTTGTGATGAGGTTAGGGAATTTACCTATACCGTTCCATTCTACAGAACTCCAAAAGCTTCTTCTTTTATAGCTAGGATTTGCATAGGACTTGAATGTTGGTTTGAGAGTGCTGAAGTTAATGAACGCCGTGGAGGTCCAAAACGTGATCTAGCATACATTTGCAAAGAAAAGGAAGTTTATCTTTCCATGATCCACAATAGTTGATTTAGTGCAGGGTTCATTTAAAATATCAGTCTCTGTAAATATTGAGAGAATATGTGAGAATGGCTACGGAATATGTTTCTTTAGTGTAAAAGTTAACCATTTTGATCTTCATGCAGAAACTGTTGTGAAGATCTGATCAAAATGAGCCATACCAACTCTAGCCTATTTATGGTTCAAATGCTTACTGATCCTGCAGATATCTTGGATACCAAAAGATCTGCGGATTGGTCTTTCTTTAGTAAAGCAAGAAAAAAAAAACATCGATCATTCGTTGAAGGTATTTTCATTTCCATCTTGAAAGCCTCTATATTCTCTAAGCGTCACTAAAATAAACCTGCGGATATTATCACTGGGTTTCTTTGAAAGAGACGCTTTTTGTTTCTGACGGCTTGCTACCCATGCCGTTTGTTAACTTGGATTCATTAACCGGTAAGTGTTATGAACTTAAATGGTGCCGTACAAGTGAATAACTGATGCAGGAATTGGATCCCAGGTATGTGGACAAATACTCATCATCCATGAACTCAAAATAGAAAGGAACATGGAAAGTTATTTATTTTAACTAGAACAATGGCTAAATTTTATGGGTTTACATGCTCGTTTTAATGCTGTCTTGAAAACATATGAGCCTACACTTTAGATGTAAAAACAAAACTAAATTCTTTAGTACACTGATACATTTATGATATAACCAAATACAACTTTTTGATGTTTTCGTTTACTTACAACTACAAGTAGTACAATATTTCAAATACAGATAAAAGGTGCTGAAATTAGTTACTATTACCGTTTCAACGGAGGTGGGAGAATTATTTGCAAGTATTTTCATCTCCTACTCTTTTTAACTTGTACATCATTTTAAACAAAAATTTTTAGTAAGATATTTATTTGAACTGTACATATATATAAATAAACAGTACCTATTTTAGTAATTTTATTGGACAAGAATCATCTCACGAATCATAAATCAAACTAATAGTTCTGTTTTTTAAAAATGGATAATGCTTGTAGCAACTTTTTAAACAAAAGCAAATATAGCAAGACATCAAGTGTTTAGTGTAGTTTCTCAAATGACTTCAGATTAAGATGTTCTTTTTCAAAAAAATAAAATTTTATTTAATAAAAAGCACTTTCAAACAAAATTAAAATGAGTATGTTTTTTTCAAGTAACTCAGAAATTTTAAAAAATGAGCAAAATCTAAAAAATATGGAGTAAAACAGTTATTTATATAATCACTATAGAATATAATGCAACAAAAGAATTATATTTTACTAAAATAGTTAAATTACAAATTTAGTAATTGAATTTTGAGGTTGTTTTGAATCTTATAGAATTAAATTTAGTCTCCTAAATATTCAAAATTTGTAAAGTCTTCATATCTTCTTAATACAATAATGAAAAGTTTAAAATTTTTATTTCTTTTTTCCGATCACTTGAAAGTAAAATTTTTTATTGATACTATTTAAAATTCACAAAATCAAAGTTCAAACAAAACTTATAGTTTAACAAATATTTTCTAAATAGGGTGATTTAAAAACTTTTATTGAAAATATTTTTTAAAAAAGGGCCTTTAATTAGACAATTTTCGAAATCATTTGAAAAAACACAAAAATTTGAGGAAATGGTGAAAAATGTCAGAAGTAAAAAGGTGATTTTTTTTGTGGAAAAAAAAAACATCATTAGGTGAAATTATAAGTTTCTAACCCTCCTTTTGAGTCAACTAGGCTTGTTTTTACTTTTGTGTTTTCAATAGATTTTTGAGATTTTGACTACCGATGTTGAAAAGTTGGGAGTTTATGCCTCTTTGCTATTCAAAAGGAAACCATTGCAGCTATGGATATTACCAACATACCAACATACCAACATACCAACTACGTGCAGGTGGGAGCCTCTTCTCACGCTCAGCGAACGATAGCCGATTGGAAACACCTTTTCCTTAGAACCCTGGACGTCTTTTCCTGCCAGCCGCACCCTTCTTTATAACTCTCAACCTATCATTTGAAAAACCGGGGGAGTTATAAAGTTTAAGTGTGTTTTACAAAATTGATAGCAAAATTGACAAATTTAAAAAGACAACCTCATGGTACGCAAAGCAATGTACTTTGAAGTATCACTGATAAATTAAAGAAAAAAAGAAAAAACTGACCGTTTTCTAAATTATTAAATGAAGGGATATGGTAGATCGTCGTCTTACCGTGTTCAAAATTTTGTCATCAATTAACACACCTCCAATTATGTATATGGATTCATTGATGACTCCAGCTGCCGCATATCCTCGCGTCTTATTCATGGGTTCCCCAACGATCCACGATTCCATACGTGGATCATATACTTCAACGCTCGAAACCATGGAATCTCCATCAAATCCCCCAACAGCATAACTGCGAAGTATAGAACATTAAATACAGGCCTGGTCATTTCTCCACATGGATGTCAAAACTTATAAACTATTGCTTGTTTAGCGTATATTCCCAATTGATAAAGTGCATTCACGTAACACAATCTGACTCATTATAACCCGTAAGGTCATCCATAACAAAGAAATGGCTTACAGTTTCTCGTTCAAAGTCACCAATGAATGACATCCTCGCTTTGCATTCATATTAGGGATTTGAGTCCATGAATGTTCTCTGATGTCAAACCTTTCAGCAGACCTGAAAAGGCAGAAATTGGGAAAGACCATGAAAGCTGTTTTTGTATCTTTCAAGCCAACTCAATTAGGGCATGCTGGAGGCAACAATTGAGATAGTTCTATTAACTCCTCTATGAAGAAGAAAAGAAAAGAAATATTAGTCATGGTATCTTACCTCATATAGTCATTACCATCAAACCCCCCTGTTGCATAAAGTACGCCATTGAGCTCCACTGCAGCAACGGCAAATCGCTGTAGAAAATAATCGAGCAATTAAAAGAAAATGTCAACAAACAAAATGCAGCTGTAAGAGAAGTAATCAATGGCAAGCATTTGAACTATGGTTAAGAAATCAAGCATGAAAAATTGGCCGAAGAGCATCCTTTACACTCGGTAGCACTGACCTCACATGGATTTATATCCAAGGTGAAGTCAAGCATACCAATACCCGACCATTAAACCGAAAGAAAACTTTTAAGGAAATTTGTTCGTCATACTTTCCAAATTTAACCGAATGAATCGAGTTATCATAGAGGTGGATCAACCTAAAATTAAACACGACAAACATGCCAAAATCACCAATTACCCTTTGTAGCATTGACCTTGTACAAATCCATCGTCCAAGATCCATGTCAAGCATTTCAACATCTGAGAACGACTCAATACCATTTCCACCACCAATAGCAAATAATTTGTTACCAATGCTAACTCCTCCGAGGCTTCCCTTTGCCAGATTTAAAGAAGGGCACAAGGTCCACTGATCGGTCTCCAGGTTATATGATTCAACTTCAACAACAAAGAAAGGAAATGACAGACATTATTGTATTACACAAATAAAGACATCCGAGAAAATTAGTAGAAGTTGATACCTGTGTTATACCATGCACAACCATTACCACCACCAAAAACATAAAGCTGACTATTCAACCATGCAACAGAAGCATATGCACGTACAGAGCTCATCGGGCGAAGTGATTTAATCATATCGCTAGAAGGGTCATACAATTCCAAAGTTGACAAGTGTGATGCACCATCATATCCTCCAATAAGAAAAATGGATTCATCAGGATCCAAACACAAGTCTTCCAATTGTTCCTCCACCACTACCCTCTTTGCTTCTACTGCATTTGAGTTTGGCAAATTATTCGACGTTATACGACCCTTCAACTCCTGGATTTCACCTTCTGCCGCCAACTGCCATGAAAAGTTGAAAATTTTCCCATAAACCTTATCACATAAGTTAACAAGAATTGTTGTCTGCCCTTAAGCCATTTTCATCTTTGGTAGGAGGGACATAAACAACAGGCATTTGAGATGATGAGAATCAACTAGTTAAAAGATAGATTACTTAAAACACAAGCAGTACCAAGATCGTTCAACCCTCATCCTCAAAAAATGCATGCATCGTCTTGCAAACCTTCAGTAAAACAGCTTAATCAGTAAGCTTTTTTCAAAATGTTTGTTTATTTAACGCTTTAGTGTTTGTTAACGTATCTGAAATATTTTCACATATCAAATTACAAAATCATAAGTGCGAACTCTCGGCTTAAAAAAGTTGCATAGACTCATGTACAGAAATTCTCAACATTGTTATTATATGTGTGCGGGCGTGCATATATTTCACCTCCTACATTAAGGGATTCTTTAGAATCGACCTTACGTTATGTAGAAACCCACAATTCTTTTATGGTCCAGAAGAGAATATGAGGAATCGAGACAACCAATTAAAATTTTAAAACAGCGCCATTACAACCGCATAATTTACTACTCTAAAGATATTCACAATGTCCTGATTATCCCAACTACATTTTGATTAAAAAAACATGAACACATTGGATTCTTGAATATAACCAAATGCCAGACATGCAGAAGGAAGGAAGATAAGTATATAGTAGTAGACCTTTTAAAGTAAAGAATGAAAAGTACCAGCTTTTCCTCCAAGAAAACTATTCTCCTAGCTTGTTCTGCATTAGATTCCTTAAGCTCTTGTAGCTCTTGAACCAACTAAAAAATATTAAAACCCATATTAAACGCCACGATCCAGAAAGATATTCACATAAAAATATATACCATATATGGAATGCTATAACTACCTTAGCAATTGGAGACTGAAGTCCAGTCAAAGTACCAAAGTCCTCTTCATCGCTCTCTTTGGACTTTATTGGTTCACCGGAACTACCATTATTCACCAAATTATTGCCCTTATTAATGGTAGTATGATTCATATCACTTGTTAAAGGCAACATTGGACTTTCATGATGCTTTATAGCAAATTGTTGTAGTTTATGCAATATTCGGCACTTCACCTCTTCATCGGATTCATTTGCATAACAATGAGCTCCAAGTGCACTATTCCCTGCATCTAATGAGGAAGTAACATCTACGGCGTCCACTACTTGACTTTCCAGGTCAAAGTGCTCCTCCATAATTTGTGATTTGATCTTTTCACCTTCATCCCTTGATTCCAAGGAGGGGAGGACTGTACAACAAGGTTTGCAGTTCGTTGTAAATTGTGGTACATGTAGAGTCATTGCTTGAGATGATAATAAAGAAATCAACTTATTTGTCTGAGCATGGTCAAGCTCAAACCAGAAATGATTGGGGCTATAATAGTTGTCCTTAATTATAGGCTTGAACTGATTTTCTAACAAAGGTTGGCACAGCTTCCGAACAAGAATTTGAACCTAATAAAAATAGAAACCATAAGAAAAGAGCATTTTCTTGGTGATAACCATTGCCTATCTTCACAGTCATGCCAATTAGGGGAAACAGAACAAGAACGGGAAGTTTTTGGTAAAACCTGAGCTGGATATAGTGTTCTCTCTGAACCATCAGTAGTCCACCCATATGGATTAATATTTATCTGTCCTGAACTAGCCGCCTCAAAGATACCATTCAACTTTCTCTCGCTATAGTTGAATAGAAACAAAGGCAAACCAGGATCAATGTTCTTCACATATGAAAAGTGTTGAGAAGGCAAGCCTGTATAGATGGAAAATAAAGATGTCAGTGATCAGAGGGCAGAAGATTGAAACAAAACAAGAGGATAATCTAGAGTGAAGAGGGAAGAAAATTGTAAGAAGAACAAAGTAATTGATATCGTCATGTGATTTCCAACAAAATAAATCACATTCTTTAAACTACAAAATGCTGACGCGTAAATATAAAACCAGTAAAATAAGTAAAGAAAATGTAAAGAGGAGAAAAAATAAGCAAAAGATAAAGATTGAGTTGTGGATACGAACCAAAAAGCTGGTTAGAAAGACATTCCTTTATGGTGCTGTTCGTGCAACCAAATATTACGCTTCCAAGGTGACACTTGCTCAAATTTCTGTACACTTCACCAGCATCCAATCGAGAAGAAGATCCAGCTTTGAACTTTAGAGCTCTCTGTCCTGTATTCATTCTTCCATATGGAGAAGTGAAGAAAAAAAAAATCTAGTGAAAATCATAAACTGAAGAAATATAATGCTTGTAACCAAAGACACGTGTCATCCTGCACAACAAATCATCCAATAGAAATTGCATTCATAGTCAATTATAACAATCTCCAAATTTCTGCTTGGACAACATACATATATTTTTTTTATTTTAAAAGAAAGTAAGCTCTAAAAAACTACATGTAGTCCACATAATTTATATATTACTTACTTTTCGCTCAACAAAGAAAAACATATAATTATTTGAGGGAAGCAAAATGCATAAAAGAAAACATTAGCAAAAGTATGAACACTCAAAAGTAATAATGGATAGTGACAAATTGACCATTTGTGTGGTGATTCATATTTGGTCAGAGTTGATTCCTAATTGGTCAAAATCTTGAAGGCTTGAGTTCACCAAAAGATAGAGATCAATTATCTAAATAGAAACAATAAGATACTGTCAAAATGATCAGGTGAAGAAGAAGGTAAAATAGAACACTCAAAAGCTTAAGGATCATTGACGTGCAAAACAAAAGGAACAACTGAAGATACATCAAGCAAAAGTTAGTATTATGAAATTAAGTCAAAATGCATAAGGATCTTCTCAGACTCCCAAATATTTGACAAAAAAAAAAAAGACTGAAGCTACATCAACCTCAACGTACGTTCTAAACCTGGACAAAAGAAACTTTTAGTAACCAAAAAATTGTGTGAACGACACCTAAAAAACATAGCGAGAAATTAGCGCATCTTCAAACCGTGACAGTATTGTTGGATGATGGAAGTCCCACATCGACTAATTTAGGGTGTGATCATGGGTTTATAAGTGAGGAATACTACCTCCATTGGTGTGAGGCCTTTTGGGGAAGCCCAAAGCAAAGTCATGAGAGCTTATGCTCAAAGTGGACAATATCATACCATTGTGGAGAGTCGTGTTCGTCTAACATGGTATCAGAGCCATGCCCTAAACTTAGTCGTGCCAATAGATTGGTAAATCCTCAAATATCGAACAAAGAACTCTTAAAGAAAAGGAGCCAAGCCCCTCCTCGAAGGCAGTCAAAAATGACTAAGACGGGTCGAGCCTCGATTAAGGGGAGGCGCACTTTGTTCGAGGGGAGGTGTTGGATGATAGAAGTCCCACATCGACTAATTTAGGGTGTGATCATGGGTTTATAAGTGAGGAATACTACCTCCATTGGTGTGAGGCCTCTTGGGGAAGCCCAAAGCAAAGCCATGAGAGCTTATGCTCAAAGTGGACAATATCATACCATTGTGGAGAGTCGTGTTCGTCTAACATGGTATCAGAGCCATGCCCTAAACTTAGTCGTGCCAATAGATTGGTAAATCCTCAAATATCGAACAAAGAACTCTTAAAGAAAAGGAGCCAAGCCCCTCCTCGAAGGCAGTCAAAAATGACTAAGACGGGTCGAGCCTCGATTAAGGGGAGGCGCACTTTGTTCGAGGGGAGGTGTTGGATGATAGAAGTCCCACATCGACTAATTTAGGGTGTGATCATGGGTTTATAAGTGAGGAATACTACCTCCATTGGTGTGAGGCCTCTTGGGGAAGCCCAAAGCAAAGCCATGAGAGCTTATGCTCAAAGTGGACAATATCATACCATTGTGGAGAGTCGTGTTCGTCTAACATGGTATCAGAGCCATGCCCTAAACTTAGTCGTGCCAATAGATTGGTAAATCCTCAAATATCGAACAAAGAACTCTTAAAGAAAAGGAGCCAAGCCCCTCCTCGAAGGCAGTCAAAAATGACTAAGACGGGTCGAGCCTCGATTAAGGGGAGGCGCACTTTGTTCGAGGGGAGGTGTTGGATGATAGAAGTCCCACATCGACTAATTTAGGGTGTGATCATGGGTTTATAAGTGAGGAATACTACCTCCATTGGTGTGAGGCCTCTTGGGGAAGCCCAAAGCAAAGCCATGAGAGCTTATGCTCAAAGTGGACAATATCATACCATTGTGGAGAGTCGTGTTCGTCTAACAAGTATGACCTTACTCAAGAGGTCTTCGACATGATTCCAAAAGGAAAAGCATATAAAAATATCTAGCACAGTAGAGGAAAGAGCATGATATCTTTCGAGAAATTAGCGTTTATTCAAACACAACGTATTTAAGAACATGATCCTATAGTGAAATGCAAAGTACATTTCGTTTCAGAAGAAATATTTAAACAACGAGATTATCAACTAATATGAACAGGTTCCTCGTGTACATCCGAAAGCACATTTCAAAAATACGTTATGCTTCGTCAATGATTCTAATAATCTTATAGCAACAAATTTGCTAACATTACTCGGATAGCCAGACCTTGGAACAAGTAACATAACAAGAATACGCGCACTTCGATTCGATCATCACTAGATTTCTACAATGCTAACTTCTAAGAGACTAAAAACCAGAAATCCATTGCCTCTACAGCGATAAAACGAGAATAGTGTCAAATCATTTTCAATCCAAAACCGCCGAATCATATGAGATTCTCTCTATGAACACGTACCTTTCACCGCAGTCGACCGATTCAAATGAAGAACTCGCCGATTGAACAAACTAAGTTTTCACGGAGATGGATTCAGATAGAGGTCTCAATATCTGGTAACTCTTCCTTCACGAGATCTAAAATGAAAATCCTCACATCATGATAATGAAGTTCCCTGTTAACTCTTTCGCTAACTCTCTCACAGTCGCGAGAGAGAGAGAGAGAGAGAGAGAGAGAGAGAGAGAGAGAGAGAGGAGAGCGGGACTGTGTTTTACGGCGTGAAATCTCAAAACAGAGCGCGAAATGAGGCTTTTGCGTTTCTCAACAACGATCCTGACGAGTCTCGGTGAAGTAGCGAAGAAACGTGGAGGCTACGATCAAGTGTTTCATGCTTATAGTATGAATCAACATTTTTGCCACGTGTCGCGTGTATGTGGCATCAATGGCACAACTTGCGTAATCCAACCGTCCAGATCAAAAATTTTGCAGCAAATAAATTTTGTGGGGTGAAGAAAAAAGAGTTGGGAGTAATTAAAAATGGAATTATAGAGTACTCTTGTCTTTCGATTATTAATGCCCACATTCCATAAATCCAAAACTCTTACGCAACAGATATTTATAGGGAAAAGCACGCAGCTCTCATGAATTATTGAGGAAATTAAAGTTTATAAAAGCTTGGGACTAAAATTGTAATTTTAAAATTCAATAGATGTCAATTTTAAAATTCGGACATTTGTAATTTAAAAAAATAGTTTATTACAAAGTATATGGTATAATAAAATAATAATGATATAAAATTCTAAAAGTATTGATTTTTTTAGTATTAAATATCCTTTCAAAATATTTAATTTAGTAAAATTTTTTTCAATCAAAATACTGTTAAATATCGAAAGGATCACGTAACTATGTGAATAGTGAGATTTTCAAGTGTAATTCATTTTTTACTTAGCTATTTATGTTTGCTGTGACATATATCAACAAAATATTAAAAAAAGATGATAGGTGATATTAAGAATTAAGGTGAAGTTATTGTGCTTAAACGTGGTGCACATTTAACTTAAATATTAGAAAAAGATGGAGGTGATAAGAATTAAGGTGAAGTTACTGTGATTGAATGTGAAATTAAGAATTAAGGTTCTAACGTGATATTTAAGAATTAAGGTAAAGTTATTGTCATTAAACCAATAAAATATGTAGACAGAAAATAAGTTGGATAAAATATATAAAATAATTTGATGAATTTTGATAGATGATATAAAAATATATAAACTAAAATAAGTGGAAAGTTTAATACAAATGAGATTTTTTATTTTTTATTTTTTATGAAACTTGAATAGAATAATAATGAACAATAAAGGACAAAGGCTAAAGTGCTAAATTACAAAAGAAATTAAATATGAATTAAATAATTAATGCTCCTAATTAAACCTAATTTTGTTATGTCCGGCCGGCCCAAAGCCACGAGTTATTCGTAGTTTTTCCGCAACAGCTTTATGTTGAACAACAACTTTACTATTAAACGACGACGTTCCAGTAGATCCCGTCTCCATAGGCCCCCGCGCCCGCGCCGTCTATTCTTCTTTTGCCAGTATATCCTTCTTAATTTTCAAAATCTTCCAGACGCTCAAGCTTTTTTTCTGTAAACCAGCAAGAGGACAACGATTTTCGTACCAGCAAGAAGGAAGGTAAGAAAAAACGATTCCGTTGTCAAATTATTACATGGACCCCTTCAAAGACGAGTTAATTTTTCTCAATTTGTTCTTCGCTTTGATAAAATCGATTGCAGTTCTGTAAGTTTAACAAAATAGCGTTTGCGGCGCCTCAGAATCTCGCGAAATCCGAAGGTCAAGGTTTCGGTTTAAGTAATCGAAGCCGTTGAAGTTGAGATAGATGGAGATTAGCGGAGGAACAGAGGGCTTGAGTCGCGTTCCTTTATCAGAAGTTGTTTCTGATTGCGCCAAAAGATGGTTTAAGGACACTTTGAAGGAGGCCAAAGCCGGCGACATCAACATGCAGGTCTTGGTGGGTCAAATGTATTATAGCGGTTATGGGATTCCTAGAGATGCTCAGAAGGTCAATTTCTTCCCTTTCAATTTATAAATTCCTATCGTTTTAACTTCTCCGAGTTTTTCACAAAATCAAGAACTCCAGAATATTGCCTAATTTACTTGACTTTTGGAAAATCTTGAGCTTATATAGATTTATGTGGGTATTATTGGTCAACAGCGTGTATCGTAAATATTGTAAATTCTGTTATGTTTCGGCTAAAAATGGTTCTCAGTTTTCTCCAATGGTTTGGTTCTCTATAATTTCGTGATTTGTTGCAACTTTGAGGAGAATGGAACATTTCTTAATGTCGTATGATTATTAATTGTTCAAATTTTGTTTTTGTTTACTGAAATCCTATTGACTTAAATGGAATTCGTTTGCATGGGTCCAAATACCATTGATTTTAGGGAAGAATTTGGATGACAAAAGCATCAAGAAGTCGATCGTCTGTCTGGAAAGTTAGTGATAAACATCCAGGTTGACTGCCATTTTGATCATTTGTCTTTTCCTAATCTTATCAGTCGTCTATAAATATCTCTTGCTAATTTCTTAAGCCAAACATTGATTGAAATAGGTTATAATGCTAGTGATTCCGATTCAGATGAACTGACTCGTGATTCTTAACTACACCAATGTTGCTGATTCCTCTATGTTATGTCAAAACAGCTGCTGGTATCTCCTCGACAACCTGTCTTTTGGCAATTTAATTTGTTATTCTATGGCTCTTATGTGTGACATCAATTATTTTCTCTTACATATGTGAAAATGAAGTAGTAAAAGAGAGAGTCGGAGAATATATGACATTTTTGCTTGTTAAAACAAGTGCCTTCAGGATTCGGACGTCTTTTAACTCCCTTGCATATGTTTCCATTATACCTTAACACTTCAAAAAGATCTCCCCCTGCCCATGTGGCTGCCCGATTGAATATTAATTTTTAGTTTTTGTCTTCTACGTCCAGTTATTGTTCGAGCCTCCTTGGATGATTTAGGGGATATCTAAATGATTTTGAATATTAAGTTTGTTGAAGTTAATAGTTTTAAGTCATAAATGCTGAGGACAAGAAGGCATCCCTTAGGTGTTCGTGTTTGTGTTATGCAAGTCTCGCTGAAGATCCTAAAGAATGTTTCTTTCTTGTTCTTTTGTCTTTGCTTTAGTTCCTCTTACATGTCACTTCTCATGGGAAATGATTGAAGCTCACACAACTCTTTTTCCTTCTTCCTATAATCATCAATCTTTGTTTTTTCAGTATCTTTGGTTTCTGTTTAGTTAACTCCTTATTTGTCACGGGATGAGATTCAATTATCTTCTAGACCTGTATCATACTTAAAATCTAGTTGCGGGTCGACGGCTGGCAGGATCATTGCTTTGTCCTCTAAATACACTCACATGTCTTTATACCAATCAAGCTGTTGTTTCTGAGACAACTTAGTTGTATGATGAAAGCATTGCTATGATTTAAAACATCTTCCCAACCATACAGTTGGGGAGATGTTTTTCACGTCAAAGATTAGATGGTCATTTTCCCGTCATATGCCTGTGCTATGGTTGATTCCTTATATCGGGATTTCAATTTTATGGAAAGATCATAGATATATGAATAAATATCAATGTTGATGAATATTTCCGTTAATCAAAAGATTTGTAAAAATTATTTAACTTAATAATTACGATGTTCTTACTTTCAGGTTTAGTTATATATCGTGTTAGTAGTATTTATAAAAGATATTAGAGATAACGATTAGTAAGTAATATCGATGTCGAACACTCCTATTCACAAATATATTGATTCAGTTTGGTCTCTTGATTTTTTGTAGTATGTGCTTTTCACCGTGGAGACTCTACTACTTGGTCAGCTATGTGTGTAGCTGCGAAGAACTTGTGTACTTGCTTCCTGATTGTTGGATTTGACGGATGTAATATGCTTTGATTTCTACAAACAATCTTATATCCATTTTTTCACTTTCTGTTTAGGTTACCACTTTTCATTGTCTGCGGGAGATTTTCATTTGTTTTTTGCATAAATGTCAAAATTTGAACTCTTTTGGTTGCTCTTTCAAATTCCCTGTCAAGAACACTCTTTTGGAAGCCTTTCCAAGCATGCTTCTACTTGCCTTCCCTTTCTTAGTTGCTAGCTGTAACACCTTTCTTTTGTTCATATTGTTCTTTTTTTTTTTTTTTTTTTTTTCTAGGCAGAGTGAAAAAATCGGTATAGTAACTATATTTTGATTCCTGTTTCTTTGTTGGATGTGTATGTCAAATGTGAAAGCATTGAGCAACCAAATCTTATCTTTAATGTCCTGTCAGAGAAAGATACTGTTTCTTGGAATACCATGATTCAGGGCTCTGCGGTTCAATTGATTTTGCCCAAACAAGCAATAGATCATTTCTTCCAAATGAAATCATAGAATTTGAAGCCTGATTGCCATGCGACGGTTTGGTGTCTTGTCTGCTTGTGCAAGATTAGGAGCTTTAGCTTTAGCTTTAGGCATCTGGTCCAGCAGCCTAATGGATAGACGTGAGTTCTTGCAGAGTCTCGTTTGCTAAACAGTTTTAATTGACATGTACTCCAAACGTGGAAATGAGAAGCAATGGAAAGGAATGACTGTGTGGTTTGAAACGCCATGATAGTTGGCGATTAATGGAATTGTTAACGGACTTCTAGAAGTCCGAGACAGATCAAACTTATTGTCGGAGAAAATATATGCAAAACTCGATGAATCTGGTAGAGAACTGAAAGCAGCTGGTCATGTGCCAACTACAGAGGTTGTTCTTTTTGTCATTGCAGACAAGGGGAAAAGGAACATTTCCTTCGTTACCAAATTGAGAAGCTAGCTGTGGCTTTTTGTTTGATAAAGACTAAATTAATCCATACGCAATTTTGTAGAGTATGAACGAGTGACTTTGATTCAATTTTTACCAATATCAAACCAATCCAAAATATCTGTTTTATTCGGTGAAAAAAAACGACCAACAAACTTATTCATTAAAAAGTCAACTAATTGTGAAGTTATCGTGAATTTAAAATTATTTTGAAATCTAACTTTTTTTTTTTAGAAACTTTATGAGATGGGTAATTACAAGAAGAAAAAGAATTATTCAAGTCAATCGAATAATATATGGAAAAATAGTGTTAGAATATAAAATATAATGATAATAAAGGACATTCCATGATCCAAAGTCAAAAACCTATGAAT